ATACTATAAAAATATTACTAAATATATTATAAAATATTATTATAAATATTATAATATATAATTATTATATTATATTATTATATATTATAATATTAATTATAATAAAAAAATTATAACTGCAAAGAAATAATGAATGTTTTACATTCAATATAGCATTTTATTTGTAATCCTTTACTGCATCGTCAAAAATATATATGAAAAATACTATGAACGAATATTATCCATGAAATTTTTATCAATTGTCAATATTCAGTTATTGACAATTATATAGAGAAATAATTTGTTATGATTATAGAGCAAAGAAACAACGATGATCTCGTAAAAGATAAATTCGATATTGACATTTGACGACAGATTGACGATACGATATTTCTTTAATCGCAATCTGATTTTTATATCTGGCTACATTTGATCTCGAGAATACCCAAAACTTTCTTCAACAATTTATCCAAATGGATAACTTAGATCGAAGTCACTATTACTTTGATTTGTTTTTGAAATTCTTTGAAATATCGTTCTATCTTCTTACTCTAGCTTTCAATTTCTAATATCATTTAGTTAGAAAAGTATATTACTAATATTATTATAATAAAAAATGGAAAATTTGAGAAGTAATCTCGAAGATTCTTCGATATAATATCGTGAATAGAACAAAAAGAAAAAAATTTTTTTAATCAATATTTAATCGATATATCTTTAATCTTCTATAATTTTCTATAATCTTCTTTAATCTAATTATCTAAATCTTTTTTATCTTCTAAATCTTTAAATTTAATTTGAACAAAATAAAAATAATAAAGATAATTAATCTTTGATAAAGAAATTAAACAACTATAAATAAATATCACATCATTTTAAAACTCTGCAATTTATTTTTTTCTTCTAATCTTCTTTTGTCTTTAATCAATTAAGAAACAATGTAATAATCAATAATTAAAATCAAATAAATTCAATGACACAAAGATACACTATTTTTATAATATTTAATAATCTTTAATCTTTAATTGTAGTCTAACTTGACGAGTAAGAAAACTTGAAAAGTTATATCGAGAATAATCGAAGGCAGATACGAATTACGTATACAAGAAATACGTTTTATCAAATACCCCGGATCGATTAGTTACGAATTGCTTCAAATTGGACTATATGACTAATCTTGACACGATTGTTCCATTATCTCGGTCTCGATATCGCTAATGGTAATCTCGTTTGAACTCGATGAAAGTTTTTTTTTTTTTAATCCGAAACTCCTGAAAATTCCCTTCTCTTTTTTTTTTTTCCACCGAATTTATCGAGATACGCGAAATGGATTCCTTTGAAGTTCACGCGATGACACACCTTCGACAGTGGATAATGATCGATAGTGGTTATCAACGAAATATTTGGGCTCTGCATAGATATCGACAACTTTTGACCTGGTTCCACCTTCAATAATTCAACCAGTTAGTTGTTGGTTCTCGTCGATCGATATTGGAAATGGAAATTAAGAAAATATTACCCTTATTTTCCATCTTTTTCGCGGATGGTAAGTTTTTTTGTTGGTAATATTTGAAAGATGATTTTAAAATTGTATTATAATATAGTTTTACGAAAAAAAATTATTTTAATTTGCAGTTCTCGCGTCTGAAAATTTGAAATACGTGAACATCACGGATTATCCTTATCACGTAAGTTATGCATTGCAGAAATTTAGTTTTAATTAGTTTATTTATAGAATAGACCAAGAAATAAGAATTAAAATTGAAATATCTCTGTTAATCTATTATATATAATTCTATTATATATATAAAAAAAATTGAACTAAATTTCATTATATGCAAGCGAAAAAATGAAAAAAGAATCATTCATTAGAGCATCATTCATAGAGAAATCTAAATATATTGATAGTTTTATTATGAAATAGCAGAAATAAAAAATTAGAGAACAGATTTTTTTTATTATATTGTTGCAGAATATTGTTCTTTGGCTCATAAATAAATCTATTCTAAAATAATTGAATTAATTCTATCTAGAAATTAGTATCTATTAATAATTTTTTAATCATTGAGAAAACTTATTCTTAAAAATATTTGCATTTCTAAATTTCTATTTAGCATTTTTCCAGCAATTCTTAATTGCATCGGTTTTAATAAACGAAATTATCGCTGCGATTAAGTGAGCATTTTTCCCATTCACCTAATCTAACTCAAAATTTTCGCAGAAAAACATTTATATCAATGGATTCTCCTTTAAAAAAAAAAATAAAAACATCGTAAGATCTATCATCTTTGCACAAAATGAAAAGAAGCTAATAATTGAAATTACATTTTTATTTATAATAAAATTTTACGAAAATTGTTAATCGTTCAATTTTCTAAATATATATTTTTACATATATTAAATCGAACACACTATTTTTCTCGCGATTGTTCATCATACGATACAGGTATCCATCGAGAAATATGGGGTACACACGTGCAGCGGAGCATTGGTGCACGAATTGTGGATAATAACCGCGGCGTCCTGCGTTTTTCAGTGAGTATCGGCTGCGAAATTCCGTGCAACTTCGTGCAAATTGCGTATCCACGCGAACAACACGAATAACGAAACGTTGTAATTGCTTACAGGGCAGACCCGTCCACGGTAACCGTGCGAGTGCGCTCGTCCACGCTTTCAACCGATGGAGATCAATTGGAAGTGGACAATATCGTTGTGCATCAGGATTTTGATAAATACGTTCTGTTCAATGATATCGCGCTAATCAAGGTACGAGATAGCTTTAGAATTTTTTTTTTTTGAATAGAAGCAGAGACAAGGTTTTAAATTCAGGCGATAGATAAGATTTACAAGTGTAATTCGAGGTATATAAAATAATTTTTTCTTGTAAAATTTTCTTTATTTTCTTTAATTGTATTGAAAATATTGAAAATATTTAATTAAAAATTATTGATCTGATTTTGAGAAATTTTAGAAAGAAATTCGTGAGAGATGTATCCTAAGATTTCTAAATTTTTCAGAATTCTAAATATTATTTTTCAATTTATTTCTAATAATCCTATTTCAATGCATTTTAATGCATATTCGTAGCAATCAAAAGTGTAATCAACCGAAAAATGTATAAACGCTTTCGCATAATAAAAAAAAAAGAGAAAAAAAGGAGAGAGAGAAAAGATATCAGCGAGATAGAAAAATTGAAAAAGGTGTTATTGAACAAATTGCTATTATTGATCGATAAATATCCCCGCTCTGATGAAACTTTCATGAAATATATCTCTCGTCAAAAATACATTTACAGAAGACTATTCCGGAAACTTTCTTATATTTCCATTTTTTTTTTATTCCACCTAATGTTCTTGGCAATTTTCAATTCTTTTACAAACAGATTGTATCGGTATCAGATGTATTAATAACTTGTTACAAAGAGAAATTCACAAAAATGAAAGCTTTGAACACGTGAAAAATTCAATAAACGTTCCGCCGATGATGTATCATTGGGAAGTTGAACTCGACGCGTATCGATAGCGTGCACGACGTTAATTCCCGAGATTATCGTTGAAATGTAAAAGATAAATTCTGCGGAAGAATTTATATTTGTGAAAAAAAAAAAAAAGAAATGTCATTTTGAACAAAATATTTAAAAGATATATTAAAATGTACCTACTATGTTCAGTTCAAGCTACCTGTACAATTTGGGGCCAAATTATTACCAATATCGCTTCCAGAAAAGGAAGAGAAGCTTAATGATGGAACTATGTGTTTCGTGACAGGCTGGAGAAACACTCTGGTGAGTTGAGATGTTTGTTAATAAAGTAAAATATTTATCTTAGCAGAAAGTTAATTACTCGAAGATTTCTAATTTTTTCGAATTTTATCATAATGCGTATGACATGTGTATAATTTAATTAATAATCGAAGAATTGTTGTAACAATTAGATCGAATCATTTGATAATTAATTCAATCGAATGTTTATACTATCGATTTATATTACTGCAAATGATTAAAATAGATATTTAATTTTCAATTAAATGGGATAATTTACGATCATTATTTTTATTATTACTTCGAATTATTAATTTCTTTGAATCAAAAATGATCAATCGATCGATTAAGAATTTTAATCACTGGACGATCATTATTATTAAATATACGTATTTTTATATTGAATAAACGAAAATAAATGTTCGTACAAATGCGATTAAAACGTGCTGTGTTTTCAACATTGTATCGCGATGGAAAATCGTAGGAAATGATCATTCGTTTTATTCGATGCTGATTATCTTTTCGTGTTATCATACGATCATTAAAACGAAAACTCGTCCACTAAATATTCACTTTCATCTCGATATCTGATTCCATTTTAACTTTGATACAATATCAATTGGCGAAAAATATACGTGTACACCTATTCTGACGATCAATTTTCAATCATCGAATAAAGAAACGAGAACAAACGTGAATTTCAATTTCGTTTACGCCCAGGCGATATTGAACGAATGATATTTCGTGATTTTTTTTCAAAAACAATAGATCAAACAATATTTATTCCGTAATAATAAAAATGTATAAAAATTCTTTGGTTCGTTTGAAAAATCAAAACGATAGAAAAAATTTTTTAAATAGTACACGAATATTTGCATCACACATATATGTAGCGTATAATAGCGTATATTGTTATTGTTAACCTCTTGTTATTGTTATTCAATAGCTATTATTTTGTAAGTGAAATACTTACATGTATGTGAATACATACATTTATAACATACAATAATCAGCTTATTAATATTTTCACGTTTAAATCATCGTAATTTATATATATTTTATTTTTAATTCTAAATATATGTTTCCATTAATCATTTATTTATATATCATGTTATGATATTTTATAATAATCTTAATATTAGAATTTTAATAAGAACAACAAAATTCTTTCTTTTTTCAATGTTTACTCACTTTTTTAAGTTACCTAATCTGTCAGAAAATATCTTCTGAAATTATACAACAATTATATCGTTTTGAAACAGCTTGTCTCTTGTAATAATTAACTTTCTGATCGATATGTAATACATAAATAATTAATCTTATCACGTCTTATAATCAGTTATATGCTCATACATACCAATATATTACACCAGTAAAAATATTAAATATAGTTGAAAATTACGGATATACGAGCACAAAACTGAAAAAATTGCGAAGAATAAATTAAAAATTAGAGAATACAATTTTTTATTAGATTCGTTGAATTATAGGAATAAAATTCTTTGTGCTATTTATCACTTTTAATAACAAAAAAAATTAGTTTTTTATAACGATGTCTAATCTATTAATCCTTCATATGTAAATCTATTTTTTTTTTTATTCTACAATGAAACTAAATCGTTCATTCCAAACTAATTTGATTACTGTTATAGATTTTAAAAAAATACAAAAATATTCTAGAATAATAGATACATATCAATGTATCTACTACAATATACAAAATTTTTTTCAATAAAAATAAAAATTCGAATGGAAGAAATACAAGTATAAAATTTCTCTGACCATCAAACGAATCAGTTTGGCTACTATTTCAAGAGGGTTGATATATAAATTTGATCGATATATTTTTCGAGAGATCGTAACTTGCTCAAACACGATTATTTTTCTATATGAAATACACATACAAAAGATTTTCGATAATATAACACACAGAGACGAAGTTTCTTTTATACTTTTCCCTTATTTTGCTTTCAATATGTAACCTTTCCACTGTAATATTTAAAATATTAAAATTTGAATTTGAAATTATCTTTCACGCAATAAATCTACATTATTAGAAAATAAATCATAAAATTTTTCCTATTCCTGTTCTATTACACCCCTATACACCTTCCTATTCATTTCTACGAGAGATCATTTGTCTTCAATCAATTTCCAATCAACTTACGAATTTTCAATGATCAATTTGGGCAACGATTTCCAGGTCGGTCCAGTGGAATCTCGACTCACGGTGACAGCAGTGCCCCTCGTGAACCAGAGTATCTGCAGCTCGGCGATTCCCTGCTACGAGCCCGTGTTCCAGAGGATGCTCTGCGCCGGCAACATGACCCAGGGGGTAGAGACGTGTCAGGTAAGATAGAGAGTCGAGAATACGTGGCCTAGAACTATGTAGGTCCAAAGGAAGAGACGTCTAGAGGATGGGGTAGTTGCGTGGATTCGCGAGCCGCGACAACCCTGCGATACTTAAGCATCTTGAAGCGTCTGTTGAGAAGATCCCTCCTCGTCGACTTTCTCGTGCGCGACGCCACTCGACATCTGTGTCTGTGTGTCGATGACGTGCTTCTACCTATGTGTCTGTGTAAGCGTATATGTGTATATATATATATGCATGGATGCTTGGAAAGCATCGCAGTGTCAGGCACAACCGTTTCAGGGAACAATACCCGGACTCGAGTCCCCAAAAACGCGGCGCCAAACGCTGTGCGTATGGCATGTAAATGAGAAGTTGCGCGAGTTGAAGGCTGGTTTGGCAGGTCGGCCGGTAAGGAAGACGGATGACTCTGTTTTGGCGATCATTGTTTGCTGTGCAATTAGGGGATCGAACAGGGCGGCATGACTGCACTGGCATGGATGATCGAGTGGATGCTTTAGGGAAACTTGGGCTAATTGTTCGGTGAATGGGATATTTTTTGTTTTTTCTTTTTTCTGTTAAGTCGTGCAAGTTTATTTACTTATCGACGATACTCTGTATGTGTGTCGATAGGATGAGGAATTATATATTTGAACGTTTTCAAGTTCTGACGATGAGTTAAGAAGTTTGGATAGTCTCGTAGTTTTAGAACGAAAGAAGAGTTTGGGAAGCATTGTTGAAATGCGAATTACGCTTCGTTGCTACTAAATTGCTGTTCCTTTTTTTAATATATTGTAGTATGTATGTTGGAATTCAGTTGGAACTTATGTTATAAGTTATAGGTTTTGAGACAGATTGTGTCATCAAGATGGCGTTTATTTCACGATTAAAAATGATGGAAATAAAATCTGATGTTTAACGTTTAACGTTATTTGTTAAATCTTTTTTAAAAGATCACTTATATCGTATATTCATATTAGATTGTATATTCATGAAATTGTCAACGTTTATTTGTTAAATTTTTTTTTTTAATGATCACTTTACTTATAATATACTTATCGTATATTCATATTAGAGAGTTTGCATTCATTTCATCAAATTATCATAAAAATGAAACTCTACGAATAATGTTCACGAATACAGGCGGCACAACAAAGCTTAATTTATTCTCCAATTTATATTTCATACATATTCGTTCAATATCAAAACATTGAAATTTCTTGGACATTTCCATTGGGATTATTTATCGCTCATTAACACGTATTTGTTCGAGGTGTTCGATCCTTCGATTCGATTTCGTTTTGCCAAAAATTTCCCTCTTCATTTTCAACACTTTTCAACGATGCATCGGGTAATACAAATTTCAATTGCCACACACTGTACGCAGAAACGTACAAAAGTAAATTGATGTCTCATTATTGCGATTCTGATTGCCTTTTGCCGCGCTTCTACGCTCGTATAATTAAGCGGCAATTCGACGTCTGTCAAGGCGTATACGGGACTAATTTAAGCGTCGATTGAATCAAGCCGTTGATTAATGAAACGCACTCGATTTTAACGAGGTTTGAACCGAGCTTAAAGATAATGTTGGACAGATAAATCCCAGGGATCGCTTTTCAACGATTCGGATAGAATTCGAAAAGGTTGGATAATCCGGATGATCGAGATTGGAAATTTATAGAATTGCTAATTAACGGGTGAAATGGCAAATACACTGTACGCATAAGCTGTAAGATAAATAATTTTAGGGATTAGTTTGGGATTCGTGGGCTTTGCAAATTTTTGAAGAGTGTGGTTAATATAGATGCCATATTCTGTTGATGTTTCATCATATTAACATTAATTCGTTTTTTTTTCAATTATGATAATCAAGCAAAAGCAAATTATTCTTATTATTATGTTATTTCACAAATATTTGTGTTTCATATAAATTTATATCTCGTTTATTTAATATAAAAAAAAATGTTTCTAATAAAATATTTAATAATTTGGATGTTTTGCATAATATGATGTAATTATTTTTATCCTGGAGAATATATGGAGATCATTTGAAGGCCAGCAATTTTTTTTTTCAATGTAAAAAATGTAGTATATTATACTTCATAAAAAATTATCAAACAATTTACAATT